ATATATAGACATACAGATATATAAACATAAACATACATTAACACAAACACACACAGACACAAACAAACAAACACACACACTATATATATATATACGTTAATATGATCGTTTGCTATGAGAATTCACACTGCAAGTTGAAAATTAAGAAAAGATATTATTCACAGGAGTTCTGCGAATAGAACATAAAACCTACCGTTCAGATTTGATCTCTACGGATCATATATCATATTTGTGCCAAAGCGTTCACGCCCCGCATCACACATAGTTGTTTTGATACATATATGAGCGAGAATCACTTGAACTACACGGATCTTTCAATGTATCAATGCTATTTCATATTTGCATATCTTATATTTGACATGAGCTGTCTTCGATCTGTGCGTGACCTTGACTCGGGCATTTGGCTGCGAGACATGTGAACTAGCAAAAAACAAGCAAGAGAACTCTTAGCCTTTTTGCAAATCAAACCGAGAGCTGTATGTCTGTATATATATTATATATTTTATGATGACCCTTGAGGTCTTGTTGACAGGCTGCCTGCTGACCTATCGCTAGAGTAGAGGCTCTCAGGCTCTCACAGCCTGTGACGGTTGACACTCTTGACAGCCTATTGTTTATGATATTTAGACATTTTGTGTGATACGTTGGCACGTTTACATCATCAATATGCTTTTCAGCGGACAATGTACAAGCCGTTACTGCAATTATTTCATAAAAAGGTTTCTCGTCTATTTCAATGGATTGCATCCGACGCATCGCCTTCATTTGACTTTATGTCTTATGAGCGCTCTTGTGGATATACTTTGCCCGCCAAAAAAAAATTGCGAGATATATGTGTCGTATATATATTATTTCAAAATAAATTTTCCTTTGAAACGTGTGGAAATAATAAACGATAGATATTTTAAAACTATATCTCTGTGTGTCCACCTAGCCACGTGTAACAAATTATTTAGTTTGTTTTGTAAAAATTCAAAAAATTTACTATCATTGATATTGCTTTTTTTTTTTGCCCTTTTGCTCGTGTGTTAAGTTGTAGCCTGGGGCCTGGAGGCGGAGGCCATGTGAATTGTGAACTATGTATGATTTGTTTGATTGTTTTTCTTGTGAAAAGAAAAGAATTATGCACAAGAAGTATGTATATATATACGAAATACAAACATATCTATGGCATCGGAAGCGTTTCTCATAATAGGTAGTGTGTGCTTATAGTTTAATAAAGGTCGATCTAATTAGGTTTTTAGATGGCCAGAAAAAAACTGTATTATACGTAACTATAGCACACCTCAATATAGACGTTTCAAGATCACACTGTTATGAGCAACAGCTTAGGTGACACATGTGTGGTGTGTCACGCGACCTGGACATCCGTTACTGCGTGTGTGTGCAACAAACGCCTATACTGTGGTGAGGAGTGCAAGGTATGTCATGGGATAACAGAACAATGCTTATCGCTCGTCCATGTGTTTGCGTTCTCCTGACACAGATTACTGCTCAAAGATACGTTGAATATTGGATATACATGAATATTTATACTCGCAGGGGTAGATTGTGTGGCAGAGTCAATTGCTGTATATGATATATCACCCAAAATCACTCGAAAGAGGTACATGACATCGCAAGTGTATATGTCCAACCTCGCGTTTCTTTATATGGACCTGTGGTACATGAATCTTCATTGCTCGCGATAGTGCATCGTACTTACAAGGGTCGAGGGATGCAACAAATGGCAGTCCTTGGCTGTGCGCATACATTTACTGTGCGAATTTAGTCATTTGAATATATCAAATGTTGAGTGTGCGCGTGTATACACCGTGTGAATTTTAATTGTGAACAATCCTACAGTATAATCGCTTGCCAATCTCTTGGAAGGCATTCGTATACTCAATTTGCGTTTGAATTCGGGGTTGTTAATGGAGATCTATAAAAATCTTTCGCGAGTCCTTCATAGTTACTAGGTGACGCCGGATAAAGTGGGAGACTAGCGGCATGAATCAATTTATTGGGCATTGTTTTCAATTTGGTTCTCCTGCGGTTAGAGGCATGGCTATACATAGTCAGTATGAACATCCGAATGGGTCGCCTAACCAAATCCAATTGCTATGTAAATGGGCAGTCGAGGGTTGCGTTCCGCATTGTTTTCTACTCAAGCATAGATGTATAATAATAAGACTTTTTGACAATCATAAAACTTAGCCGCACATACATTTCAACCAATTGTGCTTATGATACAGAAAAAAGACTGGGATGGTGGTCATGATGTCGTATGCGAGAAGAAAGTCAAAAGCGAATATGAGTGCTGTGAATGCAGACGGCCTGAGGCTCCATTTTGTTGCCCATGCCTTCAAATGGCGTTCTGTTCGCCAGAATGTCAGGTAAGCACACGTATACATTCTTGGTCTGTCTGTTTCGATAATGTTCCTGCGATGGGC